AGTGTTTTACATAATTTTTAACTGTCATAGTGCTACTTTTCAAACTTAAGTCTGCCCATGGGTATACATGTATTCCTCCTTTAATTAAATTGATTCTTTTTAGCTCAATTTTTCTTACTCATTAATCTGTGGCTCACAGAACATTTGATTGAATTTTACATACTTGCTAAAACCCAGGGATTTTAGCTGTTTAATTTCTGAAACTATGCATGTATCCTCAAACACAAAGATGTCAAATTTCAGCAAGATTTGGGGGATCTTCAGAAACTCATGTGGCTGTGCAGACAAATCATCTGTCCCAGATATATATACACCATGGAAATCAGACCCCCGAGGTATTTGGCTAATGATCCACACTATCATTTCTACCATTTTGTTATATTTTCTAAATTGTAAGCCTGAGTCAGTTTCTTTATGTCCTTTTGATGTAGGCTTGTAATTTTATGATGCTGTGTTCTTTATACTCTTTTTTTTAAAATCCCTACTTACAGATTAGTTTGTTTAGTCTTTGCTCACTTCCTTTTCTTACCCTTTACTTTCATAGTACCTGGCAATGAAGTGACTTTAGACATGTGGGGGTACCAGTTTAAGGAACATTGAGTTACAGACAGATACATTTCACTAAGGTCTAGAGGGAAATACAATATTGGTTCTTAAGCATTGTTGTATAAATGAATTATTGCTAGCTGTGCTGGCATATGAATGGCTCTCAGGAATAATCCTGCCACACACTGACTGGAGTGGACAGCATCTGGATATGAAGAAACAGGTCCATAACTCTACCATAGTTTGCGATAACCATATTGCATCCTGTCACTAGAAACATGTGAGCTATGGTTTGGCACATACTTTGAAATATATAAATGAAATCATCTGCAGGAAAGTTTTCCAAATCTTCTAGCCCATATATAAAAGAAGTGTAGTATGCATTTTCCCACATTTGACAGGAATTCTAGAATTTTATGATTTAACTAATAACCAGCTATAAAATTAAAAGAAATGTATCTAGCTTATTAAGAATAATTTCTAAAATTCTATCAACCAAGCTAACTAGGGTATTCTATCCTTTCAGTAAAAGTGATGCAAAACTTGTTATACAAAGTGGTGGAAATATATGAGATGAAGTAATAATATTTTCAGAAATTAATAGATGCCCTGGTGGCATAGCACTATGAAACTGTCTGCAACCATTGAAACACAGGTTCGATCCCCAGCCAGGGAGCTGACTCACATGATGTAGCAGTCCTCTCCTGACCCTCCCACTGCTCCCTTCAGCTGTGTATTTCAGTATATCTGCCTGTTCTGCTCCCTACTCTGTCTCTGGTGACCTCTCACACCCACAGCTCTGGCCTTATCCCAGATTTTGTATGCATAAATAAATAAATCTTTAGAGAAAAAGAGAATATGATAGATATACATAGGCAACCAGTCAAAAGAAGTACTGAATTATTTTTCTGGATTTGTTAAATTTTTTAAAATCCAGTTTTAAAAATTATAATTGTTTTTTTCTCTTCTCAAGTTATTTCCATTTACACCATTTTTATTTATGTTTGTTTGTTTCTTTAAAATTTATTTTATGTATCAGAGTCAATAAAACCTGGGATAGCCCCTGTTCAAACTTAGTTATCACGGTGACTCACTCAAAAGATCACTACAATAATGATTTGACTTATTTTAGAGGTTAAGTGGATGGGAAGCTAAATTTCAGAGTAAGAATACCTGGGATCAAACCCACACTCCAATATTTACTATCTATATGACAAGATACTTAACATAGGTAAGCTTCAACTTCATCATTTTAAAGGTGGAGGGAGACTGAGTTAGAAGTTGTAACTTTTTATGATCATATGATTATATAAATGAAATTTAAAAATGGAAAATTGGCTTGTTAAAAATAATAGAATATTCATGTTTAAAGGAAACTTGGATATCCTGTAATTTTACATCAACCTTGTAGATTCTACAATGCTCTTTTAGTTGTAAGTATAGAGGGAAAGTGGATCCATTATGAACATGGACATAGCCTCCCATTCTTTTAGTTAGCATAATTCTGCTTCTATTAAATTTATAGATATATATTCTATGGAGGGTTTAGTTGGAACGAAATGATCTGTGTAGTATGTATGTGTTGAGATATCACTGCTATTGTCCAAGCCTTCTCTAAAGAATCACATAATAGCATTGGTGAAAATACTAAAAATGGAAAACAAGGGGCCATCTATTCTCGATCTTTCTCTCTTTGGAGGAACAGTGAGAAATTATTTAAAAGAAAAAAACCATAGCTTTGATAACAGAAAAGTCTGCCTTCTGGATCAGAAACCACATATTCAAAGAAAAAAGGAAAATCAGTAAGAATCAACAGGGACAGTCATAGTTTTGCCAAATTCTCAGGGGTTTTAGAGAATTAATCAAGTTTCCCACAGCATGTAACATGAACCCCTTGTTGATTTTGTTGGGTTGGTTATTTTTAAACATTATTATGAGAATGTATAAACTTAAGACACCAGGGAGACTTTGTAGGGAGACTTTGAGTCTTGTATATACCTCCCCAAGGATCTGTTTTATTATTTTTAATATTTTAATGATTTCTTTTTAACTTTTAATTTGACATCTCTTCATATATATGACTCAGCTTTATCCCAAATATGTTCATGTCTAATTAAAAATTGTTTTATGCCAATACCTAGAGAGATTTTCTTTGATGTTTATAAATGGTTGATTTTAAAAATTAATTGACATCTTTGAAGTTTATTCTCATTTTTAGAGATTGTCATGGGCTTTTGGCAGGCATCTCTTTCTGAAAGAAGTCTTGCTTGCAATAAGAATTAGTCCTGTTTTGTTATCTTTTTTGTTTTACTACAAAGAGCACGGAGCCATCTTAATTTTTCTTTTCTTTAAAAGATTGCTTTATTTATACATACAGAACTGGGGTATAGCCAGAGGTGCAGGGGCAGTGAGCAGATTCACTAGACACAGAGCGGGAAGCAGAACAGGCAGACCGACGAAGTACACTGCTGAGTGAAGCAGCGGGCGGGTCAGGAGAGGTCTGCTGCGCCATGTGGATCACCTCTGGGTCTGGGATTCAACTCTCAGAAGCAGCCACAGCTTGGTTTAGCTTCTTAGTGCAGTGATCCCATGCGCTGTGCCACCAGGGGGGGTCCTTAACTGAATTTCTAATACCTAGTAAAGATGCTACAAATTAAACAGGTCATGTATTTTAATAAGTTTAAATAATTAACATAAAATGTGCTCAGTTCTTTACTACCGTATATTCAACAGGCTAAAGTGAGAGTTTAATGAATGAAAAAAACCAAATCTGATAATAATTATCACATGTATGATCTGATGGACAGATTTCTTGTCCCAAAGGAAGAAGAGGTACTCAGGTGGTGGAATTAACTGAAGGGATAAATTATAACTTTTAAAAGAAATTGCTTGATGAAATCTTTATGAAGATAGTAATTTTGGATCAGTAAGTCACTGTTCATAAAACTAAATGTCTTCAGTTTATATCTTAATCATGACATTTTTCCATTGTAAAACTATTAAGATTCATTTATAGTTTGCCTCTAGAACTAATATTGTGACAATTTTGTAATTATTCAATGTATGCCTAATAATGTATCACTGATATTATAATCTTATGTTTCAACTTAGAATTTTGCATTGTGATGGTTTTGTGATAAACTAAATAATAGCCTCTTGAGACACTGTAGTCAACGATTTTAACCAATTATCCACTTTGAGCACTTTTTCAATTATTAATATTTTCACGAATTCAATGATGTGTATCTTTGTATATACACAATTTTACTCAATTCTAAATGTGAAAATAATATGATTTTTCTTTTTTAAAAATATATTTTTTAATTTATTTATGTTACTGGCATGTGAAACACAGGAGGGTATCATGGAAACCCCCAATATGTAGCTGGTGGCTGAGAAGCATAGGTGTAACCCGGACTTGGGCTTGGAGACTAAACAGGGGTAGGAGCAGTCTTGTAGATCTGAGGTGATAATCTATGGAATATCACGCTCTCTCCTGAGAGTATCAAAGCTGAGTTGAGATCTCAGACCACCTGTTGGTGTCTGGTTATTCTTATGTGTATGTACAACCCTCTCTTTGCTTACATTGGAATTAGTACAGGAACTTGGAATCCTCATAATAGAGTTAATAATGTTAAGCGGCTCTTAAATAGACAGGGGATATAAAAAGCAAACTTTTTAAAAATTTTTTTGTAAAAATAAAATCTTTCATTCAAAATATTAATTAGACTTCTCTGGAGTAGGCACTGAATGGGTGAGATGCTAATTAGACATTGGTGGTATTACAAGAATATGTTAAATATGTTATGTTTTAAAGATTTATTTATGCATACAAGTGTTGAAGTGTAGGCCAGAGGTATGGAAATAGGGTGGGAGGATTCACCAGAGACAGAATAGGGAGCAGAACAGGTAGGTGTGCTGAAATACACTGTTGAGGGGAGCAGTGGGAGAGACTGGAGAGGTCTGCTTGGGTCAACTCCCTGCCCAAGGATTGAACTCCTGCTGCAGTGGATGGTCATGGCTTCACAGTGCTGAGACTTAATCCCTTGCGCCACCAGGGAGGCCCCTATTGAGTATATTAGTAAGAGGCTTATATTTCAATTTTGGTAAGGGAGGAATATAAATATATAAACCATCAGAGTTCAAAATTTAGCTTGTTTAACTCAACTCTGAAAATGCTCACCTTTACAGAGTTAAACAGCCTGAACTAGAAAACTGAAATTTTATAACAGCAGAAATTCTAGCTTTTCACTTTATTATACAGACTTCTCCTTGGGGTTCTGGAGCAGTAGGTGACTTTATGAATTCAGTACTCATTTGCACTATGCAGGTGCATTCTTCACATTCAAGGCTGAGCCTTTATTTCAGAATTATAGGTTTTATTTTTTGTGTTAATTTGTTTGTGTCTCTGTATTTACACTGTGGTCTGAGTTTGCCATCTTTTTTTTCTTAAGGCCTATCCACAGGACTCGGCAGGAACACAACACTGTGTGGAGGATGCTAAAAACAATTCCAGACTTAACATCTCAGCTAACTGATGAGCATCTAAAAACAGTTAGTATGAATGTCATTTCAGAAACCTGGTTGAAAGGAAGCACAGGTAACAGACTAATCTGAAGGGAATCTTGCAAGATAAAATTAATGCCTCTATTTGGAGTTCTCTATCAATATAATACTCAAAATTTCATTTGGCTTGCTAAAGCTGTTCTATTTGGGTGTATTTCATTTTTTAAGGTTTTTAAGTAGTAAGTGAGTAACATTTTACATGTTACAACTAAAGTTTCTGGAATGGGTCTTAATTTGCATTTCCAATGCTATTCCCGGTGGCTAGAAATAATATTTTGAGAACCACTAAGTGATACATTTAATAATAATCTAGTGTGAGTTTTTATAATTACAATAGCAAATGATCAAAACAGTTATTTGACTAATTAGATACAACAGCAACAAAAAAAGATTTTTAGTTTCCCAAATTCTAATCTTGCTGCCAATATATTAAATACATTAATAAGTCTCTTATATTTTAAATCTGGTTAAGGAGGAATATAAATACATAAACCAACAGAGTTCAGTATCTATTTTTTTTCATTTATCTGGTACTATTATAAAGAGGAATTAAACTTATTTAATGAATTATCTGTATATTTTTGTCAAATATTTATTTATTCCTCAAAGTAACAGATATATTAGATATTATTATGCTCTGCAGATGAGGATCCTCAGACACAAAATGTGTGGAATATTTCTGATTAGAATTAAAATTCAGATACCCTTTAGCCTTAATACTAACCTTATTCTTTACTCATTATGAAACCTCATTGGAATTTTGGAGAACATGTATCAATTGAAAACATTTACATATTTTAGAATTTTCCACCAGAGGTCCTCTCTCATATTTATTTTTTTCAAAATCAAGCCATGAAAATAAAATCATAGCAATTTTTCCAAGTACATAATGATTTGAAAGGAAAAAGAACTTGCCTTAGTTTGTCATTAGAGGATAGTAATTAATAACTTGTTTTATCATCAGTCTCTTAAACGTTATTTATTACAATAAAACTATGGAAACAACCTAAATGTCCTCAAATGGAAGGTAAACTACACATATTATAATTAATCTGTTCTGTGGAACTCTAGGACTTGTAAGTGGTAGATCCATCTGTCCATTGTCAACATGGAAAGCTATTAAAACTTGTTATGAAAACAGAATAATTATAGACTTACATAAATAATATATGTATTAGAATGCCATATTTTTTTACAAATATTTTAAATGATTAGAACCCTGAAATTATATATATATGTGTGTGTGTGTGTACATATATATGTATATAAGCTTGTATATATGATGCATAGTGAAAAATACAGAAAGAGTAGATCTAGAAAGATAATCCAAGAATACATTAATTCTTACCTACTGGGGAGAATTAAGCACTAAAGGGGAATTATTAACTCATACATTCACAAATATTTGTGATGAAGTTGCTACAATGAAGGTATTATGTATTGTGTTAGTGTTTGCAATTATATATGTATTTTTTAAGATTACAACATTGCAACAAAATCAAAAATTGTCTTCTGATAGTTTCTTCATAATTCAGGAAATTATTAAAAAAAATTCTTTTTTGACATACATCAAGTTTAATGTCATCATTTTTGTTAAGTAAGGCGTTCCATTCTACTAGGGCAGTTTTAAGCAGTTAAAAAAAAATTAATAGTCTCTATGTTCACATCTACTGTGTCAAAATCCTCTTGAGTTTTTTAAGACACCTAATTCTGACAGCTAAGATCTGTTTCACTATCAGAGTAGTCACTCATTAAATATCTGACCTTTGTAAATCTCTTTGTTCATTAAACTTAAAAAATAAGCCAGACGAGGTGTCTTTCCCTCTCCTTTTCTTTATTTAAGTATGCATTATCCTCCCTCTGCTGTAGTTTAAAGTATTCCCCCTGGAAGTATCTCTTCACCAGGCTCCTGCCGTTCAACCTGCTGCTGAGGCTTTGGTTTTTCCTGCGATTCCACACAGCTGTGTGCACCTTCTGGCCTCGTTGCTGGCCACAGGTTCCTTGGAGGTTCACTATTTAAGGCTGCTTCCTAAGTTATTCACTAAGCCTCTCACTCATTCACTTTAATAACCAATAAAATATTAAAATGAGTAACAATACTGTTTTTAAGTATTAAATAATACATATATAAATTTCTAGTTTTGTAAAAATTATACTAAAACAGTATTATTATATTCAGATTACATATATTACTATATTAATTTATTATACTAATTATTATACAGTTAATTACTATATTAAGGATGTTACTATAATAGCTATACTACTATAATTAAAATTCATATTATATATAAAATTTTAAGCTAAAATAAAAGTTTGGATTTTAAAGTAGAATTTTGCAACATATTTTATTTAATGCATAACCACAGGAGCTGCTAAATGTTAATGAATGAAGCAATTTATAATGTATTATTCACTGAAGAGAATAGAAAGACTGACTTTAGCAGAAAATCATTAAGTTTAATTATTATCAGAAATAATAGCTTTGGATAAACCAACAATTCTAAAACCCCAATTATTATTTATATAGATTTCCCGCTAGATTACCTGACTTTTATTAATAATCCAGAACAACATACTTATCTTGTTATCCAGAGATATATATTAAAAGCAGAAAATAGTGGATAATTCCATCTGGAAGTTACATTTTACAAGTCTACACATTTTTCTAAAATCTTTTCTGAGTTTTTCCTTTGGCTTAATAGGCTAAAAGAGTTTTTATAACTACTTCAAAATGTTCAGTTCTATAAAATTCAGAGGCATAAAAACACATAATTCATATGTTGTAGGTCTTCCATTTATTATTAGAAGTAAACAGTCTTTAGCTTTACCACCTGACTGCCTTTAAGGCACATGTGATATAACATCTTGGTTAGGTGTGATATGGCCTTAAGTTCATCATCTTTCCAAAGGTAGTGGTCTTCCCCTCTAACCAATATCAAGACTAACTCTAAAACACATATGTTCTTAATCTGAAATATGGCCTAAGCTGAAGTGCTTAAATATAATAGTCACTCAATAATTAATAGATAATTGAATGTATATGTTAATATTAGTACATATAAGTTCCAACCTGCATAGCTTTAAGTACACAGTACATATTTGAAGAGTTCAAGGGCAAAACACTTGTTGAATGATGTTAAGAGGTATATGTAGCTCATTCATGTTTCCAGATAAAGTAGCATTTATTTATACCAGTGAATTCCACAGATATATACAGATACAGATACTATACTTCTGATCTTATATAGAAAGATTTTTAAGTCCTTAGAAAAATTTTGCAGTATCTTGATGTAAGGTATTTTAATAATGTCTCCTTTTTTTATGAGAACTTCTGGCAAATATATATTCAATGGTATTGATACTTCTAGTTGCCAGTAAAGAAAAAAAGGAGAAATTTACCTTGGGTAGGCAACTAGCAGCCCTTGTAAAGAAATTGTTTCACACAATGTACCTCTTTCATAAATTTTATTATATGCTGAGAAATATTAAGTCAATACAAAATAGAGCGTAAATGTATATACATTAGAATACATCCTTCTCCCAACTTCTCCCCTGTGTAATTATCAAGACTAGTAAGTCATTACTTGTTTTAGATCATTATCTTTTACCTTTACAGTGTACCTGCTACAAAAAAAAAAAAATTCATTCAGTTCTCCTTATAGCTATTAAAAGGCAATGTATTTGCAGCGCCCTCACCACACAGATTAGATATGAAATAAAAAATGATATTGTGCTACTTAGAAAAGAATCTAGTTTAAGCTCCTGCATCCAAGCAAATACTGCTTCCTTTAAAGAGGACTAAAAATTACTTTCCTGTAGTTAATGTATACAGTTAGTGAACAAGAGGCCATCATTAATACTTAATTTAGGGAAAAAACAAAACAAAAACAGAAAAGGCACAAAGTTTACATCTCTTAAGGCATAAAAAGAAACTGTCCCTGAAAGCCAATTTGTAAAGTTTCCATTTATGGCAAGTAAAGCATACAGTAAGAAAACATCTCACAGTATTTGAAACAATCTATTCTGAACCCATAAAGTAATACAAGCAATTGAGGAAATGGAGAGACACCACCAAGTTCTGATGTCCTGCTTCTTCCAAAGGACAAATGTCAGTACAGCTGGAACAGATTTAAGTTGCCTTCAAAGTGCTTACAAGTGAACACATCTGCTAGAATTGCAGGCTGACAGTTGAATATTAAGTATAGAATTGCAGGCTGACAGTTGAATATTAAGTATAGAGGTTAGATGACAAATGGGGGGGAATTACAATGTAGGGCAGTAGAAGTAGTGGTGAAAATCTTTCTAGTAGTCAACAATCTCCCTCTCCAAGCTACTGACTTTATTAAAAGTTTTGGGGAGTGATCATCATCATCCTAGAACAAAAATAAGTGAAATAAGTAGTATGTGTAATCATTGGTATTAAAAATAGGCAAAATTACATTTTTGAGGGAGGAGCTAAACACTTAAAAATTTAAGGGTTCTCCTAGTCCAATTTTTGTGATTTAAAATCTGTTAAACATGTTTTATTTCCAGTTCTTTGCTAGACTCTGTAGCTGTATGAGAGGACTGATTATTCTAACCATCAAAAAAGGATACTCCGAATGTGAGAGTGTCTCTTATTCTTTGCTGTTTATGTAAATTATTCATTAATACCAAAGTGCTACATTAAGAAATCTGCTTCAAGTAAAGCAAGTGTAATCGTGTTGCAGTTATATCTGCATCAAACAGCCTGGGAATAAAGTCTACACTATTTATCTTTTAGTGACAATGTTATAATTTAATGATATTTTAATTTTAATGATTTAATTCTTGGAATTCTTTGCAAGACTGTGCTAACAAATAATTAGGTTGGCTAGATCTTACTTCAATTACCTTTAAAAGGAAAGAATTGGAACCCCCCTAATTTTAAAGGATTTGTTATCCTTTCAATAATTTTTCATGTGTTGACTTACTTTCAAGTGTATCAAAAATTCAGTATTAATACTTTGTGATGATTGATCAATTGTATTGACTAATCTTTCACTTTGTGGCAGGGATTCTTGGTTAACAAGATAATTAAGTAAAGTTTGGAAAACTGAAAGCATTATAAATTAATTTTCCACATCCAGTACCTTTAGATTAAAAGTTATGTATCTCATATAATTTTTGGTTTTATTTTATTTCAGTGTGTGGAAATGATGGATTTTACATAATACTCAAAGGCATGGCTCGGCCTCAAACAAGACAACATAGTAGTTTTATTGAAGAATATAAGTCACCAACCTCTTTCATACCTTCTAGTTTTAATAGCTTTCTTCTCAGTGAAGAATTAAAACACTCTGCATTTGCAGAGATGTTCCTGTCTCCACGTGAGCCAATGGTAAGAAATGAGTATTTACTATTAACACCACCAATAAGGTAAACTTTTATCTCTAGCAGACATTTAAATCCAAATAACTTCAACTCTGAAATATTCAATATAATATATTTGTAAAATTAAGAATTATGCAAGTAATATAAAAATTGAAGTTTAAAAAAAAATTGCTAATGAATACCTTTAACAACATATACCTACTGGGAAAGGGGCAGTTTTATTTAATCACTGACACAGATCAGTGTCTTTGGGTTACTGAATGAAATAGGATAATTTGATGTAATATTTGGGGTTAGGTAAAGAAGAGAAAAAGGACAGATAATAAAGTAACTTTTAAATTAAATTAACAATGTGTGCTCATCCTATTTCTTAAGAGCAATGCTAAGATAAAGAAACTGATCCCATTAACATCAGAAATTCTGCTTGAAGAGCATTTTTGTGTATTTGTGCTAGTACAAGACTATCAGTTGATCAAAAAATGAAAAGCCATTATCCTTCTGCATCTCTGAATATTCCCTTAGGTGCTTAAATATGATTTGATTGGAATTGTGGCAAAACAAAATAAATTTTAGACACAGGGAATCCAAAATAATCAGAGTAGAAAAAAAGGCAAGAGATCAATTGAAACCAAATTTCTCACAGCCCTATAAAGTGAGAAAACCCTAGAAAATTCTCAGGTTTAGGAAGAATAGCATGGATAAAACCAAGAAAGATAACAAAAAATGAGACAGGAAAGCATATTTTTGGTGAATCCATATGAATGGGTAATGTTTGTGATTTTTCTTGTTAGAGATGAAAGAGAATGTGCCCACTCAGTGGGCACACGCCACGAGTCCTTGATGCCATTTTGATATGCTGATTAAAGAAAGCCACCTTTGACACAACAGCAATAGCTAGGACTACCTCTTAGTTACCCTTGGAGTAGTGAACTTCATTTCCCAGGATACTTTTGTTTGTTTTGGGGAAAGAAACTGATAATTTAAAGGTGGATATATTGACACTATTTATTTTGAATCCTTCATTAGGTGAGGGCAACACTAATTTCCATCTACTTAGATGTAGTATTGCTTATTTTTTTCCCAGTTGTAGTAAGGTATAGTAGACATAAAAACATATATTTAAGGCATATGATTTCATATTTTGCTATAGTACACATTGTGAAATAATCTTCACAATCAAGCTAACTAACATATCCATAATTTTATGTAGTTAATGATTGTGTGTGTGTGAGTGATAAAAATGTTATGCTCTTTCCCCTTGGCTATTCCAAGCACACAATCTAATATTGTTGATTATAGTCATACTTTACATTCGATCTCCCCTTTGTGTATAATTTTAACTTGATTAAAATTTTCCCTTCTTCTCACTGCCTTAGTAACCCACTTTTTGCTTCTTTGAGTTTGAGTATTTTTTTTTTTTTTTTGCACACAGGAATGATTTATTTTACAACTAGTCAATGGCAACTTTTACCTGCAAAATTAAAAACATTTCTTAATATGTCTCAAAGGCAGACATATGCTTTTATATAAACCTGTATGACAAACTGCAAGAAGCTTAACACTAGAATTTGAGTATTTTTAATTACACGTGTAAATGAGGATACACGATATCTGTCTGACTTATTCACACAGCTTGATGTCCTCCGGGATCATCCACGTTGTTGCATTTTGTAGGATTTCCTTTCAGTTGATTAAGTAATATTCCATTGTTGGGTGTGTGCATGCATGTGTAGTTAAATTGTTTTCACATCTCGGTTATTGTGAATAATACTACAATGAGCGTGGGAACATAAATATTTCACTGAGATAGTGATTTCATTTTCTTTCTTTATATATATATATATGTACAGAGATGAAATTATGGAATTTTATGGTAATTCTACTGTTAATTTTTTTTAGGAAACTCCATACTATTTTCAATAATGGCTGTACCAATTTATGTTTCTTTTACATTTTTTTTACACTTACCTTTGGTCTTTTGCATAACCTTTTTAAAGCAGATATAAAGCAATATTCATTGTGCTTTTTATTTCTATTTGCTTGCTGATTAGTGATGCTGAACATATTTTCATGTACCTGTTGACCATGTTTATTTAAGTCCTTTTCCCATTTTAAATTTATTTCTTTGCTCGAGTTAAGAGTTCATTATTTATTCTGCTTGTAAATTTGTTATCAGATATATGGTTTCCAAATATTTTCTCTCATTGCATAGATTGCCTAAGTTGCATCTTTCCCTTTTAGTTTGACACGACCTCCTTTTATATATTTTCTATATTGTTGCCTATACTTCTAGTGTCATAGCCAAAAGTTTATTATCCAGGGGCCCTCCTTGGTGGTGCAA